GCTTGGCCTGCTGTGTTCATCCAGCTCTACACCTTGTTATGACATATCAGCTACTTGTTCAACTTGAAAATCATGTTTGTTGCCCACCCCTGATTTGTCCCCCTATTAAAGCAGGTCAAGATAAGGATCAAATACAAAACTGAGATTAATTTGGGAATTATTTCAAAATATGATACAAAAGATAAGTAATTTGGCAAGAGAAAATATGGAGACATGACCATATTTGTGAGCTGGCAATGTAAAGGTGTAGAATGAAATTGTTCAGTTTTCTCACACCTAGATCATTATAAGTTCAAGTATACATATTAATGTATTTTTATTTTGTACATGCAGGTACAAAAAATCAGAATTCTTCTCCGAAGTGGTTATCTCTCTGAACTAAAGGTTGGATCTGTTGAAGAGTTTCAAGGCCAGGAGAAACTGGTCATAATTGTGTCAACAGTAAGATCATTAATACTTGTGTTGACAGTTTTACATGACTTACAACAGTCCAGTAGCATGTATGGATGGTATTAATATGGAAATAATACTGTGCCTTGCATTAAAAAAAATACACATGCTGGATACATGCAGGAGGTCAGGCAGCATCTGTGGAGAAAAAAAACTGAGTTATCATTTCAGGTTGTTAACCCTCTTCCTTGCATTTCAGTTTAGCTTTATAGTCAGAATACCTCAAGTCTACATTTCTATCCTAATTTATTTTTATTAAATGTAAATATTTTATCCATAAACTCTCTTCAATCTATTTATTGTTTGACCACTTCATAAATGTTACAATCCACAATATAGGTAGTTGCAATGGAAATGTTTTGCTCAGAGATAATAGATAGTAATTTCAACACGGTAACACATCTATTACAGTTTGGAGTTAGCATTAATACTTGCATAATTGTACAAATATTGCAGCACACATACAGGGGTACAAAATATACATGATTATTCACCCTGTAATCTGCATATTAAATTGAACAGTTTAAAAATTAAACAGCTGAAAATGAACAGAGCCAACCTCCTCAAACATTTTTTCTTAGATTATAACTATACCGCTGAGAGTTTCCAGCGTTTACTAACTTTATTCCAGGTTCAAAACACATGACACTTTTCCATCATAAATCACTGCTGCCCTAGTCAGTCATACAGTGCAGAAGAGGTCCTTCAGCCTATCAAGTCTGCACCAACCTATCTATTATTTCCAATTTCCAGCACTTGGCCCAAAGCCTTGAATGATATGTGCTCATCAACATACTTTTTAAAGGCTGTGGCGTTTCCTACCTCCACTGTCCTCCAAGACAGTGCATTCCAGATTCCCTCCATCTTCTGGGTGAAGATTTTTTTTTTTTCTGAAATCCTCTCTAAACCAGCTGCCCTTCGTCTTAAAACTATGTCCCCTTCTCATTGACCCTTCAATTATGAGTAATAGCTGCTTCCTGTTCAGCCTGTTCATGCCACCATAATCTAACACACCTCAGTGAGGTCACCATCCCCCTCGCGCTTCTCTGCTCTGAATAACCCAAGCCTCTCCAGCCTCTCGTCATGGCTGGAATTCTCCAACTCTAGCAAGATCCTGGTGAATCTCCCCAAACCCCCTCCAATGCAATCACGTCCTTCCGAAAGTGTGCCAAACAGAACTGCACACAGTATTCCAGCTGTGGCCTAACCAAAAACCTGTACAGCTCTAACATAACTTCCCTGCTCTTATAGTCTATGCAGCCTTGACTATCCTATTAACCTGTCCTCCTGTCCTTCAAGGATCTGTATACAAAGACCTTAACTTTCTGTTCCTTTGAGCTTCCTAGTGTCTTGCTGGTTGTTGATTACTCCTTTTGTTACTTTTTGTCACTTGTTACCTTTCACTTTTCACGGTTTAATTCCATCTGCCCATCTGAGCAACTTGTCTATCTCTCCTTGTAACACAAGACCTTCCTTGCTATTAACTACCTGGCCAATCTTCGTGTCATCCACAAACTTGCTTATCATCTCTTTCTCTTTCCACCATCAACATCTTCATCTATATTGTTGATAGATATCAAGAAGGGACCCACCACTCATCCTTGTGATATGCCTTTGAGCACTGGCGTCCAGTCATAGAAACAGCTTTCAACCACCATTGTCCTACCTCAAAGCTGATTTTGGATCCAACTTGCCAAGTTACCCTGGATCCCATGTACTTATAGATTCTTTATCAATTTATCATGTGAGACCTGTCAAAGGCTTTGCTGAGATCCATAAAAAACTACACTAACTGCACTATACTCCTCTGCACACCTGATCACCACCTCAAAAAATGCAATCAAATTTGTTAGGCATGATCTTCCTCTAACAAAGCTATGCTGACTATACCTGATCAAACCTTGCTCCTCCAAGTGCAGATTAATTCTCTCGTTCAGAATTTTCTTCTTGTTTCCCTACCACTAATGTTAGACTCACTGGCCTGTAATTCCCTGCCCCCCTTCTTGATAAATGGAACCATATTTGCAGTCCCCTGGCACCTCACGTGTGGCCACAGAAATATTAAATAGTTGGGCCCTCCCTCACCTTCCACAGCAGCCAGGGATACAGCTCAGCTGCATCTGATGATCTGTCTACCTTTAAGCCTGCAAAAACCTCCAATACCTCCTCGTTCCTTATGTCAATGTGGTCAAGAACATCACAGTCCCTTTCCCCAAAATTGTAGGACTCATTTAACACCCTGTTATTGTCCTCCAGCTCCACACAGCAGGAAAGTCAACATTTCAGGTCAGGACTCTTTATCAGGACTAGGGAGGGGAAGGGAGCTCAGAAATAAAATGGAGGGGGTGGTGGTTTGCTGGGCGAAGGGAAGTGGGGTGGCGATAGATGGATGCAGGATGGGTTGTAGAGATTGGTTAGTGGGAAGGGTGGGGTGGATAAGTGAGAAGGAAGACGGATAGGTTGTGTCACGTCAAGGAGGCAGGGATGAGAGGGAGGGCTGGCTAGGGTGGGGCAGTTTTGAAGCTAGTGAATTCTAAGTTGAGGCCATTGTGCTGTAAGCTCCTGAGGTGGAATATAAAACAGAATATATTGGAGGAACAGTATTGGATATATTGGAGTTGTTTGTTTTATTCTTAAATGGTAATTGTTTTAAAACTAGAACTTAAGCTGCAAGCTATGTTTAAATGGAGGATTTGTATAATTGCCAACATTAGGCCCACAGATAAAGCAGGAACCTAGTTAACTTGTTTGTCTAATTTCCTTTAAAATAAAACTATGATCGTAAAATAAACTTTGCAAACTGATGATTCCAAAGAGGTGACTGGTTAAAGTAATATGTTAATAACATGGAAGGGGGAATCTCTACATTGTCCTCCCAATCCTCTACTGTAACATAAGATTACGAGTGAAACCACTGAAGAAGTGGTGAGAATTGTGGGTATTAGCCATTTCAACTGGGTTTTTGGTTCTGCCAGTCTTCCACCAAAGTCATGGCAATAGATTAAAAAAAGCATTAAAATTCCAGGAATTGACTCCCAAAGTCCCAAGCATTAATTATTGATTTGTGACACAAATGCTTTATTGTTTTGGTTCCAGTAAATATTGTTTGTTTTAAGAAACAATTTGCTTTCAGCGGAGTACAAATATATCTTAATTTTGGTAAACTTTCAAAAAGACTTGCCAGACTTGTTAGGTGATAGGTTGTACAATGTCATTTTTCAAGAAGCCCCTCAGCATGTTTTGAAACAAAGTATTAATAGAACTTTAGTGTTTCTAAGTATCCATTCTTAAATGTATTGAAAGTGTAATGTTTCAGAACAAGAATTTTACTAGATCGACCATTTCTTCATTGACCATGTGAGACGTGTTTAAGAAGAACTGGTACAAATTCATTTGTAAGTCATCAGTATACATTAATACCGATGTATAATTCCCAATTGGAGATAAATCAAACCACCCCTCCCTCCAATTCAGTATTTTTCACATGCACCTTTTTCTTAAAATATTTCCTGGCTGTTTAACAGATAAGTATATACCAAATTAATATACAATGTTATGATTGTTTAGTACGGTGCATTTTGTTTGCCTTTTTGAATGTAAACAAAATAAGAAAACATAAGCAGTTTCAACATTAACAAGTGCTTTGTACAGGTACGGTCCAGTGAAGAAAATCTGTTTGAGGACACTCGTTGTGTTTTAGGATTTCTTTCCAACCCCAAAAGATTTAATGTGGCCATCACTCGAGCAAAAGCACTGTTGATTGTGGTTGGTAATCCACATATTCTTCTCAAGGTGGGTGAATTTCTTTGTTAAATAGAATTTCTGACTTTGAGTCCTGATTTTGCTTTAATCTCTTGGTTTACTTGATTTCAAAGTTGTAAGAGGATCTGTGCATGTCTTAGCAGCTTAACATTAGACTAAAATCAGAACCTTGCAATGTTGATTTGCTGGGAGCCTACCCATACATTGGTGGTGAGCAGAGCTTCGGGATTGCTAATGCAGTCTGATTTACTCACAATCACGCTATGTCAAAACAAATGAGAACACCATGACAAAGTAAATATGTGAAAAATGTCTTTATTTTTCAGTTTATTTGCCTTTACAATGGGCTGACTTTATACATTTAAAAATTTTTAGTTGCCTGTACCTCTGGAAAAGCTTGGTAATCTTTCATCGATGCAAACATTTTCCATGTTTTTGTACTGCAGTGCGAAATCCTCGAGCTTCTCTCTTGACCTGTGCAGCTTCAGCTAAGGAAGCAGGCGAGTGAATAGGCAGACATTCATTGGATCTTCCAAGTTCTTCCATTGATGGCATTTTTTTTGTTGGAAAGCCGTTTCAAAAAAGTTGGAGGTCCCCAAGTGGTTTTGTCAGTCTCTTGTTGTGTGGGTAACATATTGACATTCATAAAGCAGCCAGGCCTTTTGGATTTTCCTGTTACAGGAAGTGGCAGCTTTCTGGTGCCTTCCAATCTTTGGACAGACCATAGCGGTGACCCACTTATTGCTTCACATTTCATCTTTAAACACTGAAAGCGATCTGGCAGAGAGCAGCAAAACAGTTGGCTTTATCCACCTTAAAAATGCCTGGGTGCATACTCATTCAGGCTGTGGGCAAAACTATTTTGCAGCTATTGTTGCTAGTTTACCCATGCCTTTGTCCACTAGAATGGAATAGAATATCCTTTATTGCCACGTGTACTCCAGTATAGAAGTACAGGAGTACACATGGCAATAAAGGATATCCTATATCCTTTAGAATATAGGCTGTCTTTAATAGTGCCATCTTAGATACAAAAGAGGAATAAAAGGAAAAGTAGCAGCATTACTTAGTGTCTAAGAAAAATGAGGTGGAAGTAAGATAGTTATGACATAAAGGATTGGTAAAGAATTTCAAATAGCAGCAGCTGAGTGCGTGGTCAGGCCCCAGTCCAACAACTGTCCTGCTCTGCGCTGCACCAAATTAAGTTGTGCTTCACTTAGGCCTCAATTTTCCCCTCACACTGCTGTGGGACTTGGGTTTCCCCTCGCACCGCTCCTAACTCTGCTCCAGTTTGTTACTCTGGTCACTTGACAAGCATGCATGACATTGGCCAATTCGGAATTACTGGTCCAGAACTTTGACTTATCACAGGCAAGTCCTAATGAAGGGTCCAGACCCGAAACGTCAACTTTCCTGCTCCTCCGATGCTGTCTGACCTGCTGCGTTTCTCCACCTCCACATTTTATCAACTCTGACTTCCAGCATCTGCAGTCCTTACTCTCTCCTTCTATTGGATTTCTTCTGATCAGGGGAAAGGCCAATAATCTCACCATGAGCAGAATTTTGAGCTATCTGCATTTGGCTCATCACAATTCCACTATAAAAATGAACATTAGAACTGTACTTGAAAATTGGTTGCAACAAATCAGTAAATATTTTTTAGTGAGGAGTAAGTCATTTTTCCATTAACTGGTACCACATTGCAAGTATTGTGACGTCAATTATAATAAAACTGTTAAACATTTCTTTGTCACAGGATCCATGTTGGGGTGCATTTCTGGAATACTGTGTTACAAACAATGCATATACTGGTTGTGATCTCCCACATGAAGTTTTGATTCAGCAGGGGTAAGTTTGTTTTTAAATTGTTAATCCACTGTCCAATCTCATCTTCAGTAAAATGGTTTAATTCATCAATAATAAATGAAAAGAATAGCTCAACAGCGCTTAATAAAAATTGACCTTCCAGGTGTAGGCATTTCCTGAGAATTAGAAGATATAAACAGCTATGCAGTGTTAAACACAACAAGGCAAAGGGAAATAATGGTATAAAACCACTGTGGCTACATAGGGTAGAAAAAAAATTCATGAAGTTCTTTAATTAAGCAAATGCAATAACTAATTGACGGTTGTGATATTTGTCAGAGATGAAAGATTGGCTTATAATGGAGGAAAATAGATAATGTGGATAATTAATTTTAAGATTGATAAGCAAGGTGGCTCAAGGGTCTGTTGAAATTACCAACTTTGGTTGCAAGCATCCAATGTATCATGTAATTCCTTTTTAATCTCTTTCCTCCCTGTTTCTGGGACCTCTTCCTACCCTAACGCCTCTTTATATCCCTAAAGAAAAACATTCCTCTGGTGTTTAGTATATTGTTTCCCATTTAATCACTGTTGGTGACCAGGTTTTCAGTCACCTAGGCTTCACCATCTATCTTTCTTCGTTCCTCCTGTGGGGCTCAACATTTTTTTTTGTTTCTGTGAGATGCTATGTAGGGCAGCTGTGTAGATGCTTGTTATTACAATCCTCATAGCCGTAACGCTCTGTTATCCATTTTTGTAAAATCCAGGTGTTCTACCAGATAATTCTATGCATATATCCTGAGGAATGGTTAAACAGAATATGATGTGTGTTATTGGCTGCATTGTGTTTCTCTACTGGTATATCATCTTGTAATGTCGGTTGACATTACTAGTAATTTTAGTATTTGGGTAGCTGCTACTTACTGTAGGGAGAAAAATCAGAACAGATGTCGATATGATTGCTACTTCAAGGAAGGGTAGATTGCACAGATGAACAGCTCTTCCATTAGATGCTATGTAACACCCTGATCAGCCAAAAAGTGATGAATCCCTTTTTTGTTTGTTGCTGTCATCTGTGTCATTAGTGCCCCCTCTCATCCGAAAGCTCTGATGCAAGTGTGGCTCTATCTGGGGCCATAATCATGGAGCAGCTTACACAGAACTGCAAACACTCAGAATACTGTTTTACAGAAATCACTTGACCTGTACAGATCTTTGAGACACTATTCCATGAGTCCAGCGGTCTACTGAATGAGGACTTCAGTTGACCCAGGGATCTATATGTAGTTGAGATTTGCTGAGCATGGGTTTCTAAGAAATTTTATTGACCATTTTTGCATACTATAGATAGCAGTCATTTTCTGTGGAAGGACAAGCAAAAGAAAGTTCAATAATGTCAAACAAGTGTCATATCAGCTGAGGAAAGCAACCAATTAAGTACATGATCATCACACCATTGAATTTTCTTTTACAATGCAAAAGCTTAACAGTTATGTGGGGAAATGCTGCAGTTGGCAAACGCTAGGAACCTCTGATTGCTCCTTAACAACCATAAACCGCACTTGAAAAGGAAATAGTTGCTGAGCTATGGGGAAAGAGTTGGGAACTAGAAAGCTTTGTCAAATTGCCAGCATGGCATTATGAAGTGAATAGTTAGTCTCCTGTGCTCTATCATTTAGATAGTTTACTTTTAGTACTGTTGTGTGCTGTGGCAACACCTACTACAATTGCAGTTCTGAAAATATGTCCAGGCTGTATTTTGATAATTACAAGGCAGAGTCTGAAAATGATAGTGAGGAGCATAAGGCCTGAGTTATTTGGGTTGTGGCTCACGTGGTTATGTGACTTTTCATAATTGTATGATATGAAAAGCTAAGCAGATCTGGCAGCTGCTGTGGAGAGAAATCAGAGTTAATGTTTCAGGTCCAGTGACCCTCCTTAATTCTGAAGAGTCATCACTGGACCGGAAATGTTAACTTTGATTTTTCACCACAGAGGCTGCCAGATCTGCTGAACTTTTCCAGCAATCTTTGTTTCCCTACTACTTACTTGTAATATGTACTTATTCCTCAATTGTTCTGTCGTTATGTGTTTGATTCCAATTTTGTACTGCTCTTAAATTTAAATCGCATCTGTCCTCATCTTCTCCAAAGTGTAAAGTCCCTCTTAGTTTACCTGTAGACCTTCTCTACAGTCTTCTCACACATACACTCTTCCTTTATCATGAAAACCAAGCTTGAACATATGTTTTAGATTTGCTTTCACCAAGGTAAGTACAGCTTCATCGCTATGTAACTCCATCTTTTAGATATACACTCCGACATTTTTACTTTTCCTACTATGTCTGTTCTAATAACATGGCAACTAAAATTTCTAGTGGTTAAGTTATACATGCAGTCATTCAGCATACACTTCACGTAGTTTATGCTTCTACTACAAGAACTTGCATTTCTCAGCATTGAACTCTTTTCTCCCATCTATTGACTAGTTTATCCAGATGGCTTTGAATGATCATATTATTGAATTGTTTACTCATATCTTCTGAAGTGGACAGGCAAATCACTTCATTGTAAATTGTAAAGAAAACAATTAGATGGACTCATTGTAAGAACCCAAGTCTGAATCAGGGCAGACGTTAGCAATCTTATCTCAATCATCCCTGCAGGTTCTGTTTCACTAATGAGGGAAAGATGTAAAAATGTTTGAAGATCTTCAAACAAACATGCAAAGTGAACAATGCTTTCTCTACCATCAGTACTGCCCAGTTGCCAATAACCTGATTATTAATGTTCAGTTCAGGTTCTGTCAAAAGCTATTCTGTTCTAGAACTCTTCAGTGCTTTGGCTTAGAACTAGATTCAAGAATTTAATATCAGCAAATTGAGAGTCACCTTGACAGTAGGGAAAATTAACATTCAATGCTATAGTACGAAGGAGCAGTACAATTTGCTCAGTATCTTTCAATATTCACATCTAACTATAGATCTGCCCCCAAGATGAACACATTTAGTTTAAGATAAAGCATTCTTGTTTTCTAATACTACAGTATTTAACAGCATGTCCAGATAGAATTTAACATTTTACCAAAGAGACAGGACTTTTATACTTCAAGGCACTATGCAGTTGTAGAATAAGTTCTGGAAAATTTGTGTAGTTTTCTTTAAAGCTGTCTCAAATTTAAACATTGTTAAATTTAACCTCAATTTAATAGAAATTGAGAATCGTACTCAACACAAGACTTTGACTCACCATTTTTATAATTGGATAGCTTTTTAGAATGCATATGTAGAAATAATTGTTTATACATATAACTGAAGCTTTCGAACTTTTTCCTCTATTTGCAGATCTGTATCCAGGAAGTAACAAAATATTGTGCTCTGTTTTGGAACTTGTTTTTTTGTAATTGAGGGAGACCTCTTCAGAGGAAAATGCTGCCATATTATATATGATGCCAGTCCTAGTTTTTTGTTTAAAACTGTACATTAGCATTACAGTCCTTTACTACTTAATTTCTAGAAGCAGAAAGCAAGCACTTTGTTAACTCTCCTAAATTAGTTTTCCGTCAGAGATGCATTGGATATGTAAACTAATATTCAGCTCTGGGTTATTTCTGTTGTATCATTGTTACAGTTCACAAACAACTTTACAAAGTTGCATTAGTTGAGATTCTTTATTATAGGTCTGCATGAAGTTTTGATTAGAATTATATAATTTCTTCTTTTATTTCTTATCTGGTCACAAGATTCAAGTCAATACCATATCGCATCGCTAAAGGTAGCACAGGAAAACTGCAGAAGGGTGATATTTGCAAAATCCACCATAACACTATCCAATCAACCAGTCCTGCAGCTATAACCAAATCTGCAACATGCATTCCTACCAAATAACATCTAGAATTAATTCATAACAAGTAGTTTCAATAAAAAATAGGAAGTAGTGAGGGATAAAATGAAAACTAAAGAATTACTGAATTATTTTATTGGCTCCAAGCTGCTCCTGACCCACCATTTGAAAAGTTCTCAATTGTGGGTAGAAAGTCATCTCAAATCAGCACTGAACATGAGCAATATCAAATCAGCTGCCCTGTTTTTGCATAGTGTAATTTGATTCACTGAATATTAGGCACTGTGTAAAACCTCTGAGAAAGCCTATTTTGTGCCACTAGCTGTGATGAAATTCTGTTTTTAGTAAACATTGCTTCTAGTTTCACTAGATTGTCAATACAATGAGGGAATGGCATCAGCCCATCCTGGCTTCTCTCTCCAAAGGAGTGTGCAACAGCCTCTTCAGGGTCTAATGCTTTTCACCAACCAAGATCAAAACAATTTATTTACAGATTCTAAAATATTCCTTGAATGGTCAAAACGTACATACTGTAAACTAATGCATGTGGAGTGAGGGGATTCTCTGTACATATTTCAGCCTTTTGAGATGTTATATGGTGGACTTAATTAACTCATACAAAGAGCATCTTATGTACTGGCCTCTTCTTTACATTATACAATTACAGTTTTGTACCCCTTCACATGGCATTTATATATCTCTTGGAGAACAAAATGTTGCGCAGTGTTAACAGTGTGGACCTCATTCCTAAATAAAATCTGAAAATTCAACTAATCGTTACACCTCTGGCTCAGATGGCTGGACAGCGAGTTTGTGATGCAGAGTGACACCAACCATGCAGGTTAATTTGCTGTACTGTTTGAGATCACTGTGAAGGTCCCATCTTATCAACCTCACCCCTTCTGAGGCATGGTGACCCTTGGGTTAAATTCACCACCAGTCATTTCTTGAATGAGACAGCAGCCTATGGTCCTCTGGTGACTTTACCCTTACTTTGTGTAATTGATGAAAGAATGTAATTGTATTTTGTTCAAATTTTCTAAATTAGTCATGAAAAAATAAACTTTACGTAAGATCTAGAACTTAACATACGAACATGCAGTTTGCTAACTTTTACTTTAAAAAGCACAATTTCTAAAAGTTTGTTAAACTACTGTTTCAAATTATCACACTTGGAGTATGAAAATGATAATTAATTTTTTAGTTGGTTGAAGAGAACATGATTTCTTGACATGAATCTGTCATTAAAAACAAATTTAAAAATGCCCAAAAGTTTGAGAATTTTCAATGCAGAAAATGGTCACTACATAAGGAGAATTCTCACTCATTGTCAACTCTCCAATCCTCTCTAGCCATTGTTCAAGTCTGTGTTCTGCCAACATGTGCATAGAAAAACTTAGTCTTAAACAGTTTCTGAACAAAACAAAAGCAAAATACTGCTGAGTGGGTCCTGGTCATGCTGACATGAATCTTCTGGGATAATGGGTACATTTACTGCCACCAATTCTCTTTATTGGTTTTAGTCTAAGTAACTGAAACCATTTGGGTATCCTTTTCCACATGAAGGCTTCATGAAAAATACCAGCATTATATACAGTGGAAACACAACATACAAATTTTACAGTCAAAGTAAAACAAGCAAAAGTGATGCATGTGATTTGGATCGGCTTACTTTAGTGGTAATTAACATGGCTGTCCCTAAATAATTTAGTTAACCAATTCTGCTGCAGCAAAGTTCTGCTGTGTAAAGAATATTACTTTAATAATAACATCTGCACTGGTACTAGCTATTTTACAATCCTGAAGAATGACCAATGCCAATCTAGGGTAGTGGTGCAAGAGGAAAAGGAAAGACTGCATATAGTCCCTCTAACATTTAGTTATATACTAGAATTTAGATAGTTTGAAATCAAATATTCATGAATATCTCAAGTTTGCCAGTATTAGACAAAAAACAGCAAAACTGCAAATATTAATAAGGAGAAAAAAATTAAAATATGACAAAGTTGTCTTAAAAAGATCTATAGCTGTGCTTTTTGTTTGAAAATTTAAGAGTTGAGCATCAGTCTTAAGGAATCAGCAGATGGAGTTGAAATTGGAATCAACTACTTGAGAGTATTGCTGATATTCTGAGAAAGTTGTTTATGATTAATTGAACACTTCCTTTATCTAAGACTGACCCCCATCTGCTAGATTCACCAGGCAAAGGAAATGAGCTCTGAAACTTGTATGTTTCACGAAGATTATTTCTCATTTTTCTAAAATTCCAAAGAATATTCACCCAATTTGCTCACCACCTCCAGGAGATGGTAGGAACTGCAGATGCTGGAGAATCTGCGATAACAAGGTGTAGAGCTGGATGAACACAGCAGGTCAAGCAGCATCAGAGGAGCAGGAAGGCTGATGTTGTTTCGGGCCTCGACCCTTCTTCAGAAATGGGGGAGGGGAAAGGGGTTCTGAAATAAATAGGGAGAGAGGGGGAACGGATAGAAGATGGATAGAGGAGAAGATAGGTGGGGAGGAGACAGACAGGTCAAAGAGGCGGGGATGGAGCCAGTAAAGGTGAGTGTAGGTGGGGAGGTAGGGAGGGGATAGGTCAAGGGGGCGGGATGAGGCTAGTAGGTAGGAGATGGGGTGGGTCTTGAGGTGGGAGGAAGGACAGATTAGGGAGGTGGGGACAAGCTGGACTGGATTTGGGACGCGGTCGGGGGAGGGGAGATTTTGAAGCTTGTGAAATCCACATTGATACCATTGGGCTGCAGGGTTCCCAATGTGGATTTCACAAGCTTAAATCTCCCCTCCCCCTACCGCATCCCAAAACCAGCCCAGCTCGTCCCCCCTCCCTAACTTGTTCTTCCTCCCACCTATCCCCTCCTCCCACCTCAAGCCACACCCCCATTTCCTACCTACTAACCTCATCCTGCCCCCTTGACCTGTCCATCCTCCCTGGACTGACCTTTCGCCTCCCTACCTCCCCACGTACACTCCCCTTTACTGGCTCCATCCCCGCCTCTTTGACCTGTCTGTTTCCTCTCCATCTATCTTCTCCTCTATCCATCTTCTATCCGCCGCCCCCTCTCTCCCTATTTATTTCAGAACCCCTTTCCCCTCCCCCATTTCTGATGAAGGGTCTAGGCCCGAAACGTCAGCCTTCCTGCTCCTATGATGCTGCTTGGCCTACTGTGTTCATCCAGCTCTACACCTTGTTATCTCAGATTCTCCATCATCTGCAGTTCCTACTATCTCTGTACAACTGTAGCAGGTTTCCTTATTCTGCTATGCCAATCAACTTGCAATAAAGGACAATGTGTAATTTGCCTTCCTAATTGCTAGCTGTATAGGCCTACTCACTTTATGGTATTTGCTCCCTGGTTGCGCATTTGTTTAACCTACCTGTATCTGTATCTTCAAAACTGGAGTTTCCATCTAAGTTTGCATTATTAGACACATCATTGTTTACAATATTCCCAGTCTAATTTTTTTTTTTTTTTTTTTTAAAATAAATCTAGCTGAGGGCCTAGCACTGACTCCCACTGAAGCTCCTGTTCATTCGTTTTCTCTCTGTGCCTTCTCTGAATGGTAATGTTACATTTGCTAACTTCGAATGCAATTCTTTAAACTAGAATGAAAGCCATTCTATGTAAATTGAAGTACAGTTCTATGGATGGTCAGAACTGGTCCTTACAATGACTACAGCCTCAAGACTGACTCCCAAACAACTATTATTCTATTTTATGGACTGACGATATCAATTTTCATTATGGAAATCCTAAGGTTTTGCACCCTTTTGTTATCAGAAATTGAAAAGGCATATTTTAAAAATACCTTCATGAAAAGGAAAATAACTGCAGCTCTCATTTCCCCAGTTACTGTTTTTCATGCTTTGAATATCTGGTCAAGAAACAAAACATGCAGAACACACAATGCAATATTATGAAGTTGCAGTTCAAAAGATTTTATCTGTAAGGATAGTAGAGTAAGTAGTATTTTGTTTATTACATTAATGAGTTCTACACAAAAATAACTGGCTCTAGAATGTTTCTAATCAGATTCTAGAAGACCAGAAAGATCTGACACCATAAATCTACAGATGAAACAAAAACACGAGCCCAGCTTCGATACGTTGGCCAAAACTAAAGTATGTACAGCAAAACAGAAAAAGATAAACTGGCAGATGGGCCAATTCCCTTTAAGAAAACAAGGATCATTGCTGAGGTATTAAAGAGTTCTAGACCAAAGTGTGCTACTTTTCAGAAAATTGCTTTGGGTTTGGAAGCTTTGGGCTTAAGCAAAAATCTCATTTGTATCTTAAAACAGGTTACCTAAGGAAGGAATAAGTAAGATAGTACAGATCTTAAGAACCTAAACATAGAAATCAAGTTAAAAATCATTAAAATTACAGCTATAAGCACAAGCACTGAATTGGTAATAAGGCAAAACAAATCCCTTATGAACATGTCACAGCAATGGTACAAAAATGGCATCCCAAACTGAATTTTCTTGTTGGGTAGTTAAATTACACCTATTTGTCACCAAATGGACTTGCACATCCTGAACGAAATACTTTTTCACACAAAACAATTCTAAGGTAAAATGCTGAAATACCTCCGATTTGGGAGATTAATCAAAATATACACTTGCCCCACTTGCATTCTAACCACATATTTGAATGACCTGTAGCCAAACTGATTTCAATACGCTTATGCAGTTCAAACAATTTTTGGCATATATTTATACTATATTTAGGAGGTTCACATTTAAGATTTCAAAATAATTTCTTGATGATAAACAACCAAAAGTGCATTTTACTTTCATAGGCAAAATTTATTGTTTCTACCTAGACCAACAAAATTAGTGAATGATCTGTATAAAAAATTACAAAGGTAACATGGTATCCCTGGTAAGCACTACGTGTGTAACAGTACTGATTTTAGTCGATGATTCAAAACAAAAGAGTGGAAAAAATTATCCCCATAAAAGTAAAAACCACCAAAACTAACTATGCAAAAAGCTTTCTAGTACACTATAGTCCATAAGAAATTATCCTGTGCCTGTCTAATACCAAGGCACGATATCACGAGGTCCGTGAGGTAACGTTGATCTGGTTTAAAACCTAAAGCCAACATTTTTTTTAAACCCAATTTAATGTTTGTTCATGCAAATGTAATTTTCATATTTTATAAAGTTTCTTCTCAAAATCTGTAGTGGAATATCCACATTAGGCACATAAAGTACACCAGGTACATTACATACAAAAAAAGACAGACACTTAAAGAACATGTCAGTCTGCTAAAAAAAACTGTTCGTGGAAGCATCTGTAATCAAAGTACAGACAGAACTGAGAGTCTAGATTCAAACAAGAAGTTAAGTTATACAATGATCACAATTATGTGTGTTGCCACAAATTGGAATGCACATAATTTATATTTAATTCAAAGTTCCATTAAAGAATTTATAGATGAAGTAGCAAACTTACTACCAACTGGAAGAAATAGTTTTTAAACTTTCCTCTTATTTACAGTTTGTTCATTTAGACAGTTACATTTTTATGTATAGTTTAAAGAAACAATAGAACTGATCAAGCCTTAGAACTGGAATACAAGTCACCCACAAATTCACGGGGTTTACAAATTCTGACATCCATATTCATGTTACACAAGTCCTCAAGCACACTGTGCATGAACATCATCTTAGGGAGCAGGAAGAGACAAAGATGTTTCTCTGACAAAATAATCTTCCTATGACTTACTTTTGACTGGCAGTTCCTCCACCAGCACCCTGCTTTGGGAAATTCTCACCCGAAGGGAGGAATCTATGTATTTACATAAGCTTCTTGAACCTCCCTTATCATAAGTATTCTGGTCAACATTTGTTCCATTGCCTCATTACTGACTGGCTGTGTTGAATACCAGATTGGGCTATTTGGAGCAACTACTGGTTCAGCGTTCAAGTAGAAGGCATCATTTCGCCCTTTAGCACTCTGTGGACTACAGAAAAAAAAAAGTGTCGTTATTACTTGTTATTTACACAGTAATATAGAAAAATGAAATTAAGCAAATCTTATGATTTATATAGAAGATCTAATAGCAACATTTAAGAGACATGGACTTTCAAATTCAATAAAATGTTGGACTTTATTGCCAGACTATGTAGATAAAATATCAATTTTGCACTTGCCTGCCAGATGTGGAATGTTGCACCAACATCAAACAAAAAATAAAATGCATAAAATGTCCAGTTTACAACTGTGTGCCTGGAGTAGGTGAATCTTGTATACAAGTTCAAAGTTATTCAGCTTGTTCAATTTGTCTAGATCATCTGTTAGTTAGACAGATTACTTTTTTGTCCAAACCATTCAGTTCAGGTGATTTAACATTCATTTGCGCATCTTATGCAAAACTGTATAAAAAAAAGAATGGATTTCATGCACATACATTTTTATAGGTATGTGTATCCAAAATATTACTGTTAAGAGAACTGCACAGGATCTCACTTAGTTTTAAAATAATCTTGCTTGATTTGTTTTTGTGGTTGGAAGGGGTGGAATTAAAAGTTGAAACATTGTAGAGGATCAGTAAATCCATGATCAAATGAAATTGTAACATACACATAAATGATCTGAGTGGCTATGTCTCATTCTGCACTGAATCTTTTTGTTTTACAAATCTCTAAATTTCTTATTATTAAAAATACAACCTCACAAAAAAGAGACAAAAAAAAAGTCAAGTTTTCAAACAAGTTCATAGAATCAGAATTGAATTCCTACAGTGCAGAGAGGGGTCATTCGGCCCATCGAGTCCACACCAATCCTCAGAAGAGCATCACACCCTATCCCCATAACACCTCCATAGCTAATCCACCTGGTGTGCAGATCCCTGGACAATACAGGGAAATTTAGCATGGCCCATCCACCTAAAATGCACATCTTTGGCCTTGGTGGGGGTGGGAGGGGGGGGGGGGGCGCAGGTGGAGGGTGGAAACTGAGCACCTGGCAAAAACCTATGCAGACATGGAGAACGTGCAAATTCCACAATCACCCAAAGATTACAATCAAACCCTGGTCCCTGGCACTGTGACAGGCAGCAGTGCTAACCACTAAGCCACTGTGCTGCCCTTGGTATTTGCATGACTGAAATGCAAGGATGACTGGAAAAATCAAATCAACCCAAGAGATTTTTATGAAGTAAAATGCAATTTATTGATGATATATAACCAAAATGGAACAAAGCATGTGTATTTTGATGCCAGTATGTTCCAGCTTTTAGTATGTGCATTCTCTGGTCTTTTACTATGGGAAGATACTTCCATAACATAACAGAAGTAGTCATATGATGGAGGGGGAAAAAGTCCAGTTGGCGTGGATACCAACAATATTGATATAAACTGGAAAGAGATTCTGAGCGAACATGAGCAACTGGGGGCTAAATTAAAAAAGCAGAACCAAAAAGCTAACAATCCCCAGATGACTACTTGAGCGACAAGCTAAATAACAAAGACAAGATTAAAGAGGTAAACACTTGGCTCAAAAATTGGTGTGGCAGAAATGGGTTCAAATTTATGGGACATTGGCACTAGTAGGGAGCTGGTACGGTGAGACAGGCTCATGCTGGGACCAGAGTCCTGGTGAATTGCTTTACTGTGCTGTGTAAAGGGCTTTAAATTGTGTGTGTGGGCATGTGGGGACATGAAAATTATACAACCAGAGGTAAAGGGGAAAGCAGGTTTGCTAGTTAGCGATGAGGTTGATTGCTACCACAAAATAAAAAGGAAGGGACAGAATATGTGAATATCAAATTGTACCAAGAAACCATAAAAAAAGTGTAGGGAAACTTGATAATAGAACAAGCAGAATGGCTTTGCATCTTAATGCACAAAGCTTTCAGATTAAGGCAGATGAACAGATTGTGTAAATCAAGGTAAATAGAGGTCACAATTTCTTTAAACTAGGTGGGGGTGGGAGTAAATTAGGGGCAAGGTATTGGCATGAATAGAAGATTGGCTGTTTGGGAAAAGACAGTGCGGATAAAAGGAGTCTTTTTCAGAATGACAGTCAGTGATTAGTGGAGTTCCACACAGGTCAGTATTGGGACCACAACTATTCAAGTTGTACATTAATAATCTGGACAAAGGAACAGAGGGCATTGTTGCTAAGTTAGCAGATAAGACAGATAGGTGGAGGGACAGGTAGCGTTGAGGAAGCAGGGAGCCTGCTGAAGGATTTAGACAATCTACGAGAGTGAGCGAAGAAGTGGCAGATGGAATACAATGTGAGAAAGTGTGAGCTTATGCACTTCAGTGGTAAGAATACAGGAATATGGGGAAAGGCTTCAGAAATCTAAAGTCAAAGGGACTTAGGAGTCCTAGTTCATGCAGGTTCAGTTTGCAATTAGCAAGGCAAATGCAACGTTCGCATTCATTTCAAGATGGCTAGAATTCAAAAGCAGTGATGTACCACTGAGGATGTACAAGGCTCCGGTCTGACCACATTTGGAATACTGAGAGCAGTTTTGGGCCCTGTAGCTGAAGGATGTGGTGGCCTTGGAGAGGGTCTGGAGGAGGTTTACAAGAATGATTCAGAGGATGAAGAGCTTGTCATGTGAGGAGCAGTTGAGGTCTCAGAGTCTGTACTCGATGTTTAGGAGGAGGAGGGGAAGGATCTCATTGAAACTAAATACTGAGAGGCCTGGATAGAATGGACATGAGGAAGATGCTTGCACTTGCAGGAAAGACTAAGAGGCGAGGGCACAGCCTCAGAGTGAAGAGATAACCCTTTAGAACTGAAATGCAGAGGAATTTCAACAGCCAGAAGGTGGTGAATCTGTGGAACTCATTGCTGCAGAAGGCTATGGAGGCCAAGTCATTGAGTGTATTTAAGACAAAGATGGATTGGTTCTTGATTAGTAAGGGGATCAAAGTCTACAGTGAGAAGGCAGGAAAATGGGGTTGAGAACCACATTGCCCATCATCGAACACTGGAACAGACTCGATGGACAAATGGACAATTCTGCTCTTATATCTTATAATCAATCAACCTGAGACATGTGCATGATTTTTTTCTATCATTCTAGGCTAATTGGTATGGTGGTATCTAGATAATAAAAGGAAAGTCCTTTAAGGTGATGCCTCAATGAGAAAAACAACAGAGAAGTAGTGAACAGTAAAATGTAGTATGACAATTACTGGAAACTGGGCATCCTTACCATTTAAAGAGGTAGAAGTCATAGAGTTTTATGGGACACCTCAAGGGATTTTCGGAATTTTCAAGTTGTTCCACATACATATCTTCTGTAACTAAACCAAAAAAAGCATCCAAGTATTAAATCCTTAATTTACTTTCTAATGACTGATTCAACAAAATGTGTACTTTACCTTTTAGTTTAGAAAGAGCAAACTGCTATAATCAAAATTAGTTATTTAAAACGTAGACTACCTTTCTGTCCGGCTTGAAGTTGTCCATATAATCGTAGATATCGTATACTAGAACATTTATCCTTTGAATTGCCTGGATTCTTTTTCATCTGTTTTAATACTTTGGAGAAAGCTAATTTAGAGTGTTGTTCGACTGTTTTAAGCATGAAGTACCTGCAAAAACATTTTACCAAGTTTAAATGTGTATCTTACCAAATTAAAAATCTTGTTCCTATCAAATTTACTTCCAAGTTAAATAGTCTGTAGAATTATTCCATATTAGGGAACAATAGAAAATTTAGCTTTTTTAAAGCTCATTTTCTAATCCTGTATTAAAATAAAATATAATACACAAAAGAACCAGCCACTTTTTGTAAAAAGAGCAATTTCCACAATATCTCTAGTCCATCAAATGCAGTTAATTATAACTCATTAATCCTTAACAGAGTAATTTCAGCTAAATAATGAAATTGCAAGTCATACTTGGTATTGAAATACATAAGTGTGTACAAAAGAGTAGCTGGAGAATGCGCTCCCAATTGCTTACAATCCCAAAGCATCTCCTCAGTAATTCGACTTGGGATGACATAACCTGTCAAAACAAAAAAAAAGTTAACCATTTTTCACAATCTTTAAAAAGTATACAACTTGCCTGAGTAGCTTATTGTGAAGAGAAAATAATGGAAAATGTAACCTTACAATAAAATGTTTTGTTGGAGAATTGTATATACAAATTCTGTAAGTAGGGCAGAAAACGTTACACTGCTAGTCTTCCAATCAGCCGAAACTGAAATTAGAAGAAATCTTAGCATTTGTCTTCTCTCAAATCTTTTAGATTTATTAGCCATGTAAAGATTGATGTCCAGAAATAAAAATAAACAGCATTAATAATCAAATCACATCCAGCCCTTTTTAAAAAGAGATTACTGTTAAGGCAGTAGACAACCAACATGTAAAGACCAAATCTCATTTGCATCTTAAGATATGCTATAATTTTGACAGGTTGAACACAAAGTTCACAATTATTTCCAAGGTAATTGTCATGTTCACATCAAGTAAACATGGAAATAGAATCCTTGAAATAGCTATGACATCTAATTGTTCAAAGATAGTGGGGTTTATTTATTTTAAGTTGCAAATGTCTTGATACCTTTCTATATGAATGAGGAAAATATAGACCTTTACAAATCAACTGTTTCTCCAAAAAGCCAACATAATTCATTTGCTCACTGGAGATACAAATTAGGAGTGCTCAAATTGAATGAAGATAGTCCCCACTGTCTACATTTGCTTACCACTAATAGGATGTTTTCACTTTATTTTGCCCAGCAATAAGAAATTGCCACCAATTGGAACACAGCCCACAAATATCAACACTAGAAGGCAGCTGAGTCCCAACCAATTCCCTTACCTTGACAGAACACTTCAATTGTAAGCCTCATAAGAAACATTCTTAAAAATTGTGGAGAAACGTCAGATTTGTATAACAATCCAGTTTCTGTTCAAAGTGGGTCAGTGCATTAATATAGCATGAAGCAAAAGAAATTATTTAATTCTAACATTACTCAAACTCACTGAACTTACAACTTGCATCATTCAGAATCTCAAAAAATAACAAGTGTTTTTTAACGAAAGTTAAATGTGTGAGAGCACCAATTTGCAGCAAGTTAGAAACACTTTCTGCTGAAGCTATGTATGCACCAATCAGAAACAGCCCGAATCTTTTCAAGTTTCAACATACATTCAATTAAAAAAAAAACTTTCATCTTACTCATTTGGAATAAATCAGAAAATAGCTTGTAAGCTGAAAAATGCAGCACTGTAATCCACTAAACCATTTCAGTATATAACTAGAATACCTCTCTCAATCACTTCTCCCAACCACCTCTCCCCTGCAAGGGCAACAACTTACCAACAGCTTGCATTCTTTCAGCAATTTTAACACAAGTACTCAGTGGAAGCATAATTGGACAAAAACAATACTGAATGCAAAGAAATTAGGAGAGTAACGAGAGCTTGACCACAGAGGCAGGTTTTAAAGGTCTTACAAGAAGTAAAGGATAAAAGGAGTTGGTAAGGCAGGAAGTTTAGGGAGGCAATTCAAGAGCTTTGGATACAGAATACACGGCCTTGTCCTAGTCTAAGTTACGCATCTTATCCAAATAACGTTTATAAAATACAACTCTTCTTACAATCAGACATTTCCACCATCTATTTTGGGCAATGTGTGTTTCCTAAATTGTAACGGTTCTGGGATGCGGGGCGCAGGGTGTGTGAGTGTGCGTGCGCGTGCGGGGGTGGTAGAAGGGCCAATTTCCATGTATGGAAGGAATGCGTGAAGAGGAGAGAGAAAGAGAAGAGAAAAAGGAGGAGAAATAAAGACAGAGAATCTTCAATGACTAGGGAATATGGAGAACTTGACTCAACAGGATAGAAAATATTTTGACAAAATAAATACTTTCAAAACTGATTTTCATACACATCATGCATTATATATGAAGTATATACTCAATTTTACTATCATAATTTAATACTGGTTTTGCCAGCTTTGGAATAATTTTAATTCTAGAGACATTTTGTTAATACGGTTTCATGAGATGAAGACGTTCCCGGCATGGCAAGCATTTGTGCCCTCAAGAACATGTTGGTGAATTAAAATGGGTCACATGGAGAAAAATTTGCAAAGAGTTGCTACAGTACTTTGCTTAGGGTCATGTTCTGTTGTTCGTATGGACTTTGTGAATTACATGCGCTAACTGCTGAAGTGCTGAGGTCACTATGGTAATGTGATACAAATGTTTTCATCCACCACCTTGATGGGGATGGAAGATAAACAAAGGGAAAATTAATATTTCTACCCATTTGAATTCAATTAATTCCACTATCTGAAATGGTGTAAAGTATCTACATAAAATTATAAAATGTGTTACAATTACATGATTTCTTCTCACAAAGAAGTTTCCAATTTTATACTTCTTTACTCGGGATGAACGTATCTGAAGTAAAAGAACACCACTTTAAAAAGGTAGAGAGAAGCAAGCAAGTGAAGTACTCAAAAGATACGACCTCAGATGAGCAGAGGGCAGAGATTATTGTGTGATTTGATGATCTCTCACTCTACAATAATCATATAGATGTTATTTCAACATTATATACCAAGGCATCCATATCAGATCTAAAGTTTAAAATCTGACACCTTGAAATATACCTGTAACAACTTAATGAACTCTGATGATCTGCTTCCAATCCTATAAACCTCTACACAAACAACAACCATGGAAATAAATAAATTACAACTCACCAAGCGGACTTATTTTAGGATGCCATTCTTTTAGCACTTCATGTAATTTTTCAGTAAATTTAGAATAGTAGAGATCGGCAAAAATATTGTCTATTCTTCCATTTTCAAACATATGCTGTGAAATATATGAAACAGACAGAAAGTGACCAAAGCAGTCACATCCATCAACAGAATTTCATTCACTCAATTACAGAGCAATTTAAAAAGGAACAAGGAACTAATCAGCATAAGCATGTTTCTCCACCACCCAAAAAGGAAAGCTCGCAAAACATACCTTCTGAATACAAAGAAAGAAATAATACAGCAAGTCTGCTTCATAGGGTGAACCATCGGAATATCTTGCTTCTTTGGTCATCAAACAAAGTCCATAATTGAGCTCTACTAATGTTGCACAAAGAGCATCTTCTCTAAACTTCATTGGCTGTCGTCCTAACATGTAAAATGAAAGCCTATTAAATTAATCAAAAATAACTTGGCATTTCATTGATCTATTTAACCACACTCTCATTAACCTTAACAGTTTTAAGCCTATATTAAATGAAAACAGGGACATTTTTAAAAATCATAATGAACTCTAGACAAGGTGAACATACAAAGTTCAATTGTTAAAAATCTCAAGGTCCAAGAAATTCTCCAGTGTTTTTGTTTATAAATATCACCATTAACAAATAACGTGTGAATGTGTTGTTTAATTCTAATGGTTTTTGAAGATGACGTGAACAAGAGTACTAGTGATGCCAATAATGACTTGGAGAAATCAGAGTGTGATTGTGCGAAGGAATGGAATAACAATCAAAAAAGGTGACACAGAAATTCAATTACACCTTTTTCCAATCAAAAAGATTTGACTGTCAGCTTTATGACAAAAATATTCAGATGATACACCACATTAACAGGTTTCAACTCAAAGCAACTTCATAAAATTGTTCAAAATTCAAGAACACAGTAGCTATCCTGCAGTTAGTGAAATCTGCTGGATCACTGTTACACAATTAATCAAAGAAAGTATTTGAATTAGAGTTTGTCTCAAACACAAGAAATACATGAGACACACAGTCTAAACCTTAAAACCAGCCCTATTAAAACTTCAAGTCTGGTACTGCTCAGTCCAGTTACACTGGCATGCAGATTGTTAACATCACAGATCAATCAATTGCATACTTTATTCAGCAAACAAGTTGATAAAAACTGTTCCATTAAGGACTTATATTACTGTAAGCTAAAAAAGACATGGCAAAGGATTGTTATTTATGAGCAGCTGCTGGGTTTGACATCTTTTGTTTAAATAGCTAAGTGTTTCAATAATATTATTACAATATAAATCTTTGCCTCCAAGATCAAGTTGTTTCATTCAGCACACAAATCTTCCTTTCCTCAGTTGGGTTTTGTACGAGTGAAACACTTTTATGACCTTACAATTTATTTTGTGCTGATAAACTGGTGGATTCTATCCTTATAATTCAACAGAAGCATTTCTTAAAAGTTATAAGCAACAATATGCAAAATAGTCAATTTAAGCCATTTCTTTCAAAACAAACGTCAGTTTAGAAATCAGGTGGACAACTATGATAAAGTTTAACAAATTACTATTTAGTTGGATAAGATTTTAGAAGACTTAAAGATTGACAAATTTCCAGGCCTAGATGAGATGTAGCCTAGGCTGCTAGGGAATGAAAGGGAGGAGATTACCCAGGCCTTGATATTAATTTTCAAACCCTCTCTGGACATAGGAGAGGTGCCAGAGGATTGGCAGACAGCTAATGTGATACCATTATTCAAAGAGGATAGTCAGGATAAATGAGGGAATTATAAGGCAGCGAATCTAACAATCAGTGGTGGAGAAACTTGTGGAATAAAAAAAAAATCCGAGGATCAGAATTTATCTCCACCCGGACAGTCAAAGATTAATAGAGGGTAGTTAGCATGGCTTTGTGGGGAGATCATGTTTCACAAAATTTGATTTTTGTTTTAAAAAACAAAAAAAAGAGACGTTATTAGGTGTGTCAATGAGGGCAATGTAGTTGATGTAGTCTACATGGACTTTAAGGCTTTTCACAAGGTGTCACATGGGACACTAAAAAAGAATATGATAGTCCTCAGGAGCAAGGTTAATTTGACAAATTGGATCCAAACTTGCCTGATGGCAAGAGGCAGATGGTGCAGGAGAGAAGTGGTTATTACAAATGGCAGCCTATGCCCAGAGGAGAGAATTGGGTGCTGGGTCCTTTGTGGTTTGCAAGTGTAAATGAATGACTTAGTCATGAATATAGGGGCTTTTCCTAAGTTCACAGATGACAAAAACTGGTGATATGGTAAACAGAGAGGAAGGAAGGAAGCTTTAGACTACAGGAAGATATAGTCAGATGGACATAATAGAAACTGATGGGTTTAACCCTGAAAAATGTGAAATGATGCATTTTGGGCGGAATAACAAAACAAGGGAGTACATGATGAATGGTAGTTCCTCTGGGTAACGTGAACCATGACAATCTGGGCTACTTTGGTGTATACATACATTGATCCTTGAAGACAACAGAGTGATTAAGGCAGTATATGGGATACTTGCCTTTGTCAGTCATGGCATAAAACATAAGATCAGGCAGGCAATGGTGGAGCTGTATAGGATGCTGGTTTAATTATCACAGTTAAGTACTGTGTTCAGTTCTGGTTGCCACATCATAAGAATGTAACTGCACTGGACAGGGAGCAGAACACAATATATTCACCAGAATGTTGCCACGTCTGGATGATTTCATTTATCAGGAGAAATTACATAGACTGAGTTGTTTTCCTTGGAGGAGAGAAGACTTGGAGGGGGAACCTGACTGACGTCTACACGATTGAGGGATATACATACAGTTGATCAGAAAATAAACTATTCCCTTTAGTAGGGGGTCAATTACCAGGGAGCATACATTTAAAAGGTAAGAAGAGAATCAGAAGGGATTTAAGGAGAAAGTTTTTCATCAGGAGGGCCTGAAAGGTGGTAAAGGCAGGAACATCACCTCATTTAAGCAGCACTTACATGAGCATTTGAAACACTGTAGCATACAAAGCTGTAGGCCAAGAGCCAGAAAATGCAATTAGAGTAGCTAGATGCTTGATGACTAGCACAGACATGATGGACCAGAGGGCCTCTTTCATTGCACGATGATTCTATGACTAAGATATAAAATGAATTCTTACTTCCTGGCAAAGGGGGTTTATTTTCAGCTTCCTTCATAATTTCTGCATTCTTAACTTGAGCCCAGTTCTGCCAGACACTAGCCCCTTCTTCTGGTTTTAGAGAATCAGGAAGCATTAAATCAGTCTGCACCTCAATTTGCTGTTCCGTCGTATGTGTCTGCATTGCTTGAACCTACATATACAAAAAACAATTTCCAAGTATATGGTGTAAAACTATTCCACAAAATGTATTTTCTTATGTACTTGGTAGATAAAAAAAATTGATTGATTCTGAGTGACAAAATGATTTATTTCAAAAGGCTTCCTCCTGTGCTTATACCATAGTATTAAGGAACATTTTTTATATAATTGAAAGACACAATATTACATGCAAGAACAGATTCAACACACCAACAAAAAAAAACCAACAACGTTATTTGTGCATATTATACAAATTGTTAGCTTCCAGTGACAACTTATATCACAAATTATCCTCTTCAAATATTGATATCACACTGTTTTATCCCCATACTGTCATACAAGCTGTCATTCAGTCACTTTGTGCAGTTTCCAAGTGCTACTTAACACACAACCAAATAATAACTGTTGTTGAAATGAATAAGGTATTTTCCAAATCCTGTAGACACATTTACCTATCCATTCCCAACTCATCAGTTTACTGTGCTGAAGACAATGACTGCTTATTCAACTATTCGTTACCCTTGTTGTTATCTTGATTAAAAAGCCAGTTTGCATATGCATGTCCAGAGGAAAACTGAAAGAGCAAAAAGCAAGGTGGGGGGAGGGGGAGAAACAGAGACAGAGCGCGAGCGCGAGTGCGAGAGAGAGAGAGAGAGAGAGAGAGACAGAGCGCGCGAGCAAGTGAGCGCGAGAATGTGGGAAGACCCACAGCTAAAATAAAAGGAATTCAAAACATTTTAATAGGCAGATAAATAGCAAACAATTAGTAAAAGGGTGGGGCCAACTTAGGAAACAGAAAGAGATTTTGTACATACAGGCAGAAGGCATGACTAAGCTACTATATGAGCACTTTGCAGCTGCCCAAGCCATTGTGAAAGAGGTGGTGTGCGTATGGGCTAAAAACTGAGAGATATTAAAAAAAGATGTCCATCCTTAAAGATGATAGACTCCAACATCAAATGGGCTCACAGCTGAGGATACCAAGGGAAAGAAGTTGGAAATTCTGAAGGCACTAGCCATATTTTTCCTGTTTAAATACAGGCACAGCGCCAGCTGGCTTGAATTGCAAATTTTCCACCCTGGTTCAAAAAATGATTTAAGGAAAAACCCAGCAACCAAAACCAGTCAGCACAACCCTAACAGTGGGACAACTTCTAGAAATGATAATGAGATAAAATTAAGTTTTTTGGAAAAGCATGAATTAATGTTAATGGTAAATCATGTTTAAAAAAACTTGGTTGGGATAAAAGAGAAGCATGAGGATAACAAGGTTGATGTGGTTGGTGAACTTGAACTTCTAAAAGGCATTTGATAAAGTGCCACATACTAAGCTTGCCAGAAAAGTTGAAGCCCATTGAATAAAGTGTCAATTTGCCAAACAGTGGCACTGAATGAAATGCCAAAAAAAAAAACCAACCAGCAAGGGATACACTGGAGATAGCAGGAGCTGCAGATGCTGGAGAATCTGAGATAACAAGGTGTAGAGCTGGATGAACACAGCAGGCCAAGCAGCATCAGGCTGCTGAAGAAGGGTCTAGGCCCGAAACGTCAGCCTTCCTGCTCCTCTGA